GAACTGGTATAGCGCATTACGGGGAAGAAGAAATGGCCGAGCAGACCGACACAAGAGGACAGAGCGCTAACTTCCAACTGAGCTTTATTGTCAAATTGCATCAAATAAGTAGACCGGCGCAAGCATACAAAACCACCCTAACGCAACGACAAGATAACACACAACATCACACCGTCACATATCACACATTCATAGGCGGTTACCCTGATTAAGGAAGGCCACTTCATGTTCAGATAAACCCAAAGAAGGGGCGCTAATACACGTGCTGCCAGCTCTTGCTATACAATGCGCTTCTATAATTTCTCGAGTTAATTGTGACGGGTGCTTTTTTATCACTTCACACTGGTTAAACATGGGGGTACATTCACAATCGCGGCAGTGAATTCCAATGTGGCCCTGGATTGCTTTGTGAGCATTATAATGGTGCTCTTTTAGCCTTTCATTAAGGCATCACCCCGTTTGGCCGAAATACCACATACCACATGAGAATGGAATCGCGTAAACAACCCCCACTACACACGGCACAAACCGAGTTTTGTGCTTAGTTGCGCAACCAGTGGTGTGTGATTTGAGAGGGTTGACAGCTTTGCAAAGCCGCTGTAACTTATCCGGCGCTGAAAACACCACTTTGACGCTGCATTTCTCCCCTATCTTTTTTAGCCGGTGGGAAATGTCATGCACGTAGGGTAAAACTACGGGTCTTTTTCGGTCGTTAGATTCCGGCTGGGCCTCGGAGTTGCATCCTTTCTTTATCTGTTTTAATAGCTTTTCAGCTATAGATGCCAGTAGGATAGCTGGGTACCCAGCACTCAAAAGCCTTTCAGCTTGAGCAGCAAAGCTGCGATGCATGACATGATGACACGATTTCCTAAGAGTATTGATGAGAGAAAGATTTGTGATGCTGCGCTTAACTAACTTGGAATGGGAAGAGTCATAGGGTAAAAGGGGTTTTCCATTTCTAGGTTCAAATAGCCAGCACACATGGTCAGGTGAAAGAATTAAATTCAAATCGAAAAAGCGTAAGCTATTGTCAACTGGCAACTCATGAGTCAATAAAAGCGGTTTAAAACATTCCTTAAAAGTCATTACAATACCGTAGGTTAGGTGCTGGCAAGCAGCGTCGCTGCAGTCAATGAAAATTAAAAAGTCGTCTACGTAACGACATATTTTGGTGACAAAGTTTTGGTCTGGTTTTGGTCTGGACAAAGTCCTGGTTGCGCAACTAAGCACAAAACTCGGTTTGTGCCGTGTGTAGTGGGGGTTGTTTACGCGATTCCATTCTTATGTGGTATGTGGTATTTCGGCCAAACGGGGCGATGCCTTAATGAAAGGCTAAAAGAGCACCATTATAATGCTCACAAAGCAATCCAGGGCCACATTGGAATTCACTGCCGCGATTGTGAATGTACCCCCATGTTTGACCAGTGTGAAGTGATAAAAAAGCACCCGTCACAATTAACTCGAGAAATTATAGAAACGCATTGTATAGCAAGAGCTGGCAGCACGTGTATTAGCGCCCCTTCTTTGGGTTTATCTGAACATGAAGTGGCCTTCCTTAATCAGGGTAACCGCCTATGAATGTGTGATATGTGACGGTGTGATGTTGTGTGTTATCTTGTCGTTGCGTTAGGGTGGTTTTGTATGCTTGCGCCGGTCTACTTATTTGATGCAATTTGACAATAAAGCTCAGTTGGAAGTTAGCGCTCTGTCCTCTTGTGTCGGTCTGCTCGGCCATTTCTTCTTCCCCGTAATGCGCTATACCAGTTCAAGTACGACGAACCAACTCGCCCAATCTTCAACACTCGTCAATAAGAGCAAGATCTAAAATTTAATGCAAGATGAGAAGGACCGTGTTCGAAAAGACTGGGAGGAGGAGCATGGAAGATTTGATGAACTGGAGGTAAAGTGCGCCAAACTAGAGAGAAGACGTGCGATAGCACTCTAATTATATGCTCAAGAACAACAGCAACTCGAGCGCAAACTGCTATTCGCACCAGCCAAAGGACGTATTAGAATAGATGAGATAAGGCCTACAAAGGTTTTACAGAGAGAAGGTCGTACTTGATTTCCAAAGTTTGAATTCAGTTGAGCCATGGAGCAAAGAGCATGCGTGTTGCGTAAATGAGACGAGGCTCCTAACTGGTGACCAAGAACGAAAGAGCTCAGACACATGAGATAATTGTAGCAAGGAAATGGTTAAGGAGCTCTACGCAAGTTCAGTAACATTGAAAGTTGGGCGAGTTGGTGATAGTTCATGTTTACTGATGAAGCAGCGCACGGGGACAAGCAAGAAAGGAATAGTGGGCTCCCTTTCGTTCCTTTCGTGCTTATCTCCCTGCACTGCTTCGTAAGTAAACTTGTGCGCAAGTGTTATGAAGAGGGCACAAAAGAAAAAAATATGACACCTCCAGACAATAGCGATACTGAAATACAGCTCTTTACTGATGGGGATGACGTATAAATAAAGAAGCATTCAACGGTCACAAGATATGACACCAGAGGATAGGAGGGTGAATGAAGTGTCTGAGATGCATTGTGGTAAACATGAAAAAATGAAGGGGACACAGACAACTCCAAAAGTACTGAAACATCGAAGCAGTTATCAGGACGCAAGAAAGGTTGCTCAATTTGTTAATGGTAGAAGTGCAAGACGAATAGGAAACAAAGCTACGAAAACGCCCAAAGCAGGTTTTACATATATAGATGCAGAGAGGGTGGTGGGAGATAAGGCGCAGTGAGGGAAAGTTGGTCTGAAGAGGCATTGAGTGAACAGAAACAGAGGGACCAGCTGCAGCAGGCGTTTGAGACAGTGGGATGCAGGAAGAAAAAGATGCAATATGTGAAGAAGCACAGACTAAAGTACATAGGCAACCACCCATTGCACGAAGCCTCAAGGAAATCCATACGAATTTATTAGAAAGAAAATCCTCTTAGTTGCTGTAAATTTTGCCCTTGTTCGGGGACCAAAGCCTTTTCGAGGCTGACGCTTTACCAATTGAGCTAACCAGGAAGCTAGCAATGAGCAGCATGAGGGCGAATTCATCAACAACTTGAAACCCGTGGACAAGCGGTTGTCTATTTTTGTTGGGAAATACTGCTTGGAGAAGTGGTACTGTCAAAATGAAAACTTCAGAGATGAAGAGGTGTATGACTACTTTCTCGCTAGGGGAAGGGTGCTCTGCAAACCGCGCTTGCTCCGTGCACTGCTATGACATGTGCTCACATGGGACAAGCGCTGCTCGGTCATTGGCTGTGTGCCGATGACGTATTGCTGACGTCATTGTGTTACGTTGGCAAAGTGGGTTGAGTCGTGAAAAAGGGCTTCGTCTATCCCTCCACGCTGGGAGAAAAAGAGAGAATAAGGTTGAGTGAAAAGCAGGGAGGTTAACCAGAAGAAAATTTCTGGTTTGCTACCTTGCACTGGGGAAATATAAAAAGGCACGATAAGGTAAGGTGGAAAAAAGGAGAGAAGGGGGTGGTTAAAGAAAATAAAAAACGCGCTCACACTCAAGCACAGGATTGTCACAGTCGTTTAACGACTCCGGTTGACAGCAGAAACTTCAGCAGCGCCTTCGATGCTTTCGAGCTAGAAGGCTGAACGTTCTGGCACTCCAAAATTGACTGTTTCGGAAGTGGCTGGTCGTCGAGACACCCTAACGTAGCCGGAAGCTGTTGTCTTTCGCAGCTATAATGAGGACAGTCACAAAAGACAGTGATCACATGCACAGTTATCCCTATCCGGTAAGCAAAACTGTTCATGAATGACACTCCAAGCCACAATTGGTTGATTGATTGATGATTGATTGATATGTGATGTTTAACAACCCAAAACCACCATTTGATTATGAGAGACACCGTAGTGGAGGGCTCCAGAAATTTTGACCACCTGGGGTTCTTTAACGTGCACCTAAATCTGAGCACACGGGCCTACAAGATTTCTACCTCCATCGGAAATGCAGCCGCCACAGCCGGGATTCGATCCCGCGACCTGTAGGTCAGCAGCAGAGTACCTTAGCCACTAGACCACCACGGCGGGGCACTTCAAGCCACAAGCGGCAGAGGACAGTTGTTTTGGATCGAGATAGTCCGGATGGAGTTGATGTGACGAAGCTGGGAAAAAAAGGTGGGAAGGACAAGTGAGAAACTGAAACCAGCCAATGCTAGTCATTCTAAGCCCCAAGACCTCCTTATTGCAGCATTTATTGACAAAGTTGTTGCGGCAGCATGTTCACATTGCACTAGAGCCCCATTATTAGATGCGAACTAGCTCTTTGACTCGTGTGTAACGCCGTATGTATGTGCAACCATACGAACATGCCGCTTCGCGTTCTCCTCACCGCAGGTGTTGGAGCGGTGCCGAGTAGGTCACGCTCCCCTCGTAGTGCGCATTGATGTCACTCTCTCCCTCGCCTGCTGCGTGCTCGCCGCAGCACCCGAAACTGCCACCTCGTCTGTTCGCCCGCAACACCTGCCACAACCGCCTCTCGTTCCGCTACCACACCGCTCTCTACACCGCCGAATCGTCAGTTCACGCGGAAACTATCAATAACAAAAAGGTGAACAAGCATCAATCCTGTGTTTGTCAACTTCAATGTCTAATGAGTGCAGAAACCTCTCAGCCTGCCCTTCCCCGATCCCAAGGCTGTGGTAGTCAAGGCAAAACGCATGCCAGCTCTGGTGAAGTGCTTGTGTCCACTCTGAAAAAAAAAAAAAAAAAGAAAAAAAAAAGAGAGAGACGAGACCTACGCCAGCCATCACTTCAAATGAATCTTCCAGGGCTCACTACAGCACGAGAAAACAGCGTTAGTGCCGCTCAACCCGTGACACCACCCATGCGCTGCTTCTTCACATCCCATCAGGGTTCCCTTTGGGAAGATGGTGTCAATTTTTTTCTCCATTAGAAAATTTGTACCATGAGGTTGTCTACTGGCTTTTTAAGGTAATGAAACACAACCATGACTAGAAGAGGAATGCTGAAACAGTGACTTGTTTTCACTCACCTCATACAGGGCTCTGGAGATGCGTGACCTGCGGGGCCCTATCTTGTATTCGCCTTGCACAAGAGGATCAGCAAATGAGACGTGCCTGCTTGACACTTGCTGCAAACAAGAAGCGTTCAATGCTATGCAGTGGCACAATGCAATCCATTGGCTGAATGACATCAACAAAGTGCATGCACCTCGGATTATGTGGGCAAAATATATATTGTTCTACTAAGGTGAACAGGCCAGCATAAGGTAAAAGCTAGAACGCTTAAACAGCATTGAAAAGTATACCAGTCTTGTTGAGACATTCAAAATCAGTTTTAGCTTGATGCATGTTTACTAATTATATGAAATAAACAAATACAAAAGTTTTCCTGTGCGAAATTCACTTGAAGAGATGGTTTTAGGGAAGTGTGGTGGGTCGTATGTCATGACACCACTTTTTTTAGGTCAATTTAACATTTCTGTTCGAATGCTCCACATAATCTAACAACTATTATACTGTATTCAAATTCCCTTTATTTGAAAATTAAATTGTTGAAAATTTCGAAGTATTCGTAATGAAGAAATAGATATATAATAGCCTGCATATAACCCTCTGTAGAGGTGGATTCACTGCACTTAAAGAATGCCAAGCCATGCCAAGCACTGGAAAGCCAAGCACTGGAAATGCACACTATCATAAAGCCTCACTTCAAGAATAAATGGACAAATTACCTTCAAATCGTTTCATATTCTTTTGAGTTTAAAAGCTTGTTTTATTGGCTTATGTGCTCTGAATCTAAAAAATTTTAAAACAACATAATTTATAGGTCTCATCATTTGCATTTTATTGAAAGTCAAATCCTGCTACTAATCCAAGTTTCTTTGACTTCTTTTGAACCAAAAAGAACGGGTTTTACAAAAGAATTTCCAAAGAATACTGTGCAGGCTAGTTGAACCTGACAAATTGATATATACGATTCGATAGTAATTCGACTAAAATCAATATTCATTCTAAGTTTCCTACGAACCTAAAATTCACAATTAGCACAAGCCTACACGTTTATGTGGCACACTGCACTCAATAATGTCAGATATGTGTGGGGATGCAAATGCGTGATAAGCTCTGATCACAAGCTGAATTTTGTTCTGGACTAATAGTACATTGCTGCAATGACACACTGGTTGTAAAAATAAATGACAGGTACGTGTGACTCAATGTACATTAAGCTCAGCTAGCTTGACAAGAAAGTCATTGTGTCCCTCCCTTCGTCCCACGTCCCCACCAGGCAAATGAAAAAGCTACTCTTTGGCCTGTTTAACAGTAAGAATCTTTGTTGAAGCATCACAGTTGATTAAGGGGGTACTGGCACAAAATTTTGCAGCTCAGACAGCCCGCGTAATAGACCTTTTTTAAGCCCACTTAGCGCCGCCAACGGGTGCACAAGCATTCATGGGAAAAGTTTGTACGCTGCAGCAGCCGCCGCGACAAGCGCGAGGGCATCACGCTTGAACTTTGCGCTGGCACCGTGCCGGTGCTTCCCAAATCAAGTGAACTGGGCAAGGTCTGATATATTACTGCATGATTTAATCACAAGCTGCAATGTTTGGGTGTGATGGCATGACAACGATTTGCACTTACCCCCATGTTCAACAGCGGCTGAGAAGCGTTAGTTAGCCTATCAGTTAATTATTATTATCCTTTAGTATCAGTTTGTCATCCACATAAATAAAAAACAGTACAACTTCTTTGCCTAAAAAGTGCAACCACTGTCGTCCATAAATTCATGGATGCACTAGGAATTAATTAGTGCCTTTTGATGTCGTTTAAGAGTAAATTGTCCAATTCTGGTATTTTTAAAGAGTACTTCAGAAAAAAGCACGACTTCTTAAAATGAAATACATTGACTAGACCGCTGCGCGCTGCTCGCAGCACATGAATCTACCAACTTCCCTTGGCATTGTAACTACAGGGTAGAATAAAGTCTACACGAAAAAAAAAGTACAACCAGGAAAGAAATATTCACACCGGAAATGCTCACTCACTGCTAAAAGGTTATCGCACGTGTTAACAAACACGTAAGAAAAAATTGGGGTGCATCGCGCATGTCACAAAGAGGTACAAAAAGAGTAACAACCGATGTGCGGTTATACAGTTGATTAATGAAGTAGCAATATTCAAGGTTAATTGACTTAAGGGGGCAGACTGGTCTTAGACACTTTTTGTTTATTTCTTCAGTGATCTTGACCAAACTGCACAGTATTATGCAGTTTTTTTTTGCTGATTTTAAATATGCAATTACTTTTCCTGTAACTCATCTCATTCCCGAAATAATGCAAGTTCAACCCCCATTGTTTAAGGCCTCAATAGAAAAAAAAGTGCCTAATTAAAAGCAACATTCAAGATATGGCAAGATAGACTAATGATCTAAGATTGAAATTATGCAAGTAGTTTCTTTTATTTGGCCTTTTTAGTTATGTTATGGCAAATTGCACTTTCCACTCTGAAAAAGCAGTTGGCATAATATTACAATTTTGATGAGTAATTAATTAAAAAGGCTTGTACTCTAAATTCCATTCCCATACTTGGATTCTATACACATACAGGTTTCCATCGCAAGAAGAATTATTGCTCTACCAGCCCTAGCTGCCGAGATATCGAGGCCTTAAGATTGAACGGAGTCATAAATTCACATTTTGAGAAAAATGGCAAAAACAAATAGCACACACTTTATTCAAAAACAACAATAAGAAGGTGCATATTTCACAATGCAGATCTTAATAGCCACCAGGAACATAGTCAGACTGGTGCTTAGCACTGCGGTGGCGCTTCTTTAGTGCTTGCTGGACCTTCTCACTAGAGGCACGCTTGCGGTTTGAGTCGGCCACTCGACGCCTGTCCTTCTCAGTCATCCGTCTGATGCTTGGGAGGGTGGCGTTGAGATTGAGCTCATCGAGGATTCCTGTTGATGTTCTCAAGTTGCCACAGTTGAATTTCATCACTGCCTCGGCAACTGCAGCTTCAACCGCAAACAGTGAAGCATGGCACTGTTTAGGTGCCAAAGCCCAGATCACGGAATGAAGGCTTTCATTACTATTCTGGGTTTTACCCCTTTGACACCTTTCTAGAAGCCCTTTTTCTGACAGGCGCTCATAAACTGGAAGAAGAGCCTTGCACACATGTTGTGGCAAATTGTAATGGTGCCTCGGAGTGGGCTCCCCTTTGGCAGCAGCTGCATTTTGCCGGCACCAAGAGTCTGGGCCTGTGGGACACAGGCTGTGGATTGACTCACTATCATTAGAAGTGATGTGATAGTAAGTCGCCATCACAGCTCTGTGCATGTCCTCAACATCTCCTTTGTGAGATTTGAGCGCCCAGCCGTAATAGGAGCTTAACTTCGTGATAAGGTCCCCGGTGAGCCTTCCCCTTCCTCCAAGGGTTTCAGAGGCACCTCCTTTGTGCCTTGCTACTAAATTGCGTAGGGCAGTGCCCATACGCTTTTGGACGTGATTGACACAGTCCTCTTTTTGGACTTTGATGAAGCCATAGACATCTGCTTCTTGCAAAGCGAGGAAGGTGCGGCTGTCACCATCTGACAGGATTGTAGTGTACTTGAGGCCATTTTTTTTATGGACCTCTAAAAGAGGTGCACAGCTGCCTCAACTTCCATTTCGCCAGATTTTTTTGTAGTATTTTTTTGGCACACGTGGCTGTCCTGCCAAGCCTGATATGCCGGGTCGTCTGCCTTCGGTCCGCGCTCGCACCCGGCACAGAAGTTGCTCAGAATCCTTCCAAGTTTTGAAGTTTGCGCACGCTGAAGTGACCCACAGTGACCCCCCGTATTTCCCTCACGTCACAACGCTGCAGTCAACACAAGTTATGATGACTAGAGACCGGAACTTTAGGCACAAAAACAGAATGTTTTAGGCACCTATAATAGGCCATAGTACTGTAATTCAGGCATAAATAGGCAATAAAACTATCATTTAGGCATATAAGGCACCATTCATAATTACTTCTGTAGCCTGCTCAGGACATTAATTGCACTTCTAACAAACACAGCAGGTAAATTCTGTGCTTGGGGAAAGCCAAATTTATTTTTTCCATGAAAAGAATTACTAATAAGCATAATAATTTGAACAAACTTAGGTGAAAGCTGAAGTTTTTGACATTGTGGCTAGGAAAACAGTGACAAACCAGCATCACCTCAAGGTTTTCGGGCTTGAATTGTGCTTGTTTTCAGTCAGTACTTGCTTTTATGCGAAAAAGAATGCTCATCATCCACTGAAATTAATGAAGCGTACTTGTGGCCTAGCACTTTCAATGCTTTAATTGCATCGGGAATATTTGAATCAGCATCACTCGAAACTTTAGCTGCATGCTTTAGCACATACAATCCAGGATTCTTTCCAAGGCAGATTTAGGCTTTGTGGCAACCCTGTCAGCGACCAGTCTATTTGGGAAAGGGCAAACCTTTCAAGCGCGTCTGAAAAAACTGGGTATCCTTAAGCTTTGCCTTTAAGCGTTGAATGCGATAGCAATATCCTGTTCCTGATGCGTACTCCAACCACTTAGTTTATACTTTTTATTGCATGATGTTAATCGAGAAGTTTAAATTGTGGATTACTATACAGTGTAAGCGATAAAGCTGAAAGTGGCTTGTGTCAGTGAAGCTTTTGCATATGGCTGCATACTGAGTAATGGGTGCATGCAAGTTCACAGATGCCAATATAAAAATAACAAAATGAATCTGTGTGCCCATGGATTGACCACAAAATACATGTTATTAGCAGAGATTCAGGGGTTATTTCAATAAATCAGAAGTTGTAAAAGCAATGTTCAAAGCTTTATGCCTATGCGTGCTTGAGAGGGGACGTCAAACTCAAAGTATTGTTTACCTTTCCAATGCCTCCTCCCCTGCTTTTCACATGGACCGTTTCTCGATCAACAGAGTAGCGCTGTGATCTACCAATTCACTGCCTGACGAGTACACTTTACGGCTTCTTTTTATTCTGCATTTCTCGGCAGACTTCTGACAGCTGCTGTTATGAAGAACATAAATTCCAACCGAATTTACGTGTAGGCTGTAGGCGGCAGCGCTAGCCTAGCTTAATTTTGGCTGATTATAGTA